TCTTTTATATAGCAAAGATGAAAATCCTAAGATGTTTATAAATATAAGGTTCATAAATAAATTTGTTCTGAACTGTATTTTAAGATATTTTTCCCGTTTATTTTATTATATCTCGAAGTAGAGAGAATTATTGAAGACCGATATAAATAACTCTGATATATCCAACAGCTTTCAGCATTATTTCGCCATCTGTTGGCGTGTTGTAAACTCTCGTTGAGAAACCAGTCGCACGCACAAATATAGCAGAACTCTCCAAGATTTTATAATAATTAAATCATACGCGCTCTGTTCAATGCTATTTCCGTACAATTTTATAACGACGTGCATTACATCACGATTAATTATACTTCTTCTTCAGGCAACGTTTCGTAACGAGCGTGACTTCATAACTAATATAACTAAACAAACGCCATTCTCTTATTCTTCTTTTCCGCATTATCGTAATGTTTCGGTAAGAGAGCAATCGTCAATAAATGTTTCCTTCTCTTTCTATACACATAAAACCGGAATTGGATTTACGTTCGCGTAATAAAGCGTGATATCGTTATTCTGCATTTTCAAAAAAAAACATTCGGCATCTTCCGCAAAAAATCTTAGTTTAATTACTTAATTAGCTTCGACAGAACGCGTGATCTACGGACTTTACACATCGAACAATGTTCACTTCGCTGCCGGGTTTCCGTCAACGGTTTATCCAACCGGCAATTATACTTTTCCAACAGCGAAATTGCTTCTAAGAACCCGAGCCGCTCTTTCTTCGCGCTATTGCCTCGGGAGGAACGCACGTGCACGACGAAACGTTTGATTCCTGAAGTCACGTCACTTCCTCGAATCATCCTCGCGGTACGCGTTACTCATTACCATTACTGGAAATTTGAAGACGTTTCTCGCCGGTGAATTCCCATTTTGCGTTCAGTGAGTGAAGCCAATGTATTTCAAAGGCAAAGACGATCGGTGAAGCGAGATTATGATAGAAACGCGCGAAGTATCGTTTCCGAAATCGATTCACGCTCGCGTGATATTTCAAAGAAAGAAAAAAATCAACGTTTCACAAGGATTATTCGAAAATGGAGAAAAGAATATATCATTATCTGTTAAAATGTTAGCAGAACGAAGATTGTTTTATAGACTCGTTTCATAAAAGTCAGGAAAAAGAGGACACACGATCTACAAATATTCCTTTATCGGATACGATATCTTGACACGTCGATTCCGTGCTCTTTATTCGCGACGTCCTTTCACAAGTTTTCGCGCGTTACGCGATTATTTCTCTATTCACCGGCTTTTCCCGAGTTCGGGAAGGAGGTGCCCTGGGCTCTATATACCTTTTGTATCGCGAGCGCGAATATGCCCGGGATGTATTACGCTACGGGGATTGGGAGGATGAGCGAGGAGCGCTTTAGGTGAGCGCGGGGCACGCAATGAGGGCTATCCTAGTTTTACTGCATATTGAAGCCGTAACCCGCGCATTACCGGAGCCTTTTAGTGCAAGTTCTCCGGAGCGGGAAAGCGAAGCGGCGCGAGATGTATATTTCAACGCACGAGCGAGCACCCGTGCATTCTCGTAGTTTCCGCAGTTTCCTCCTTCTTCCCTTCCTCCACCTCTCCCCGACCGGTAATTCGTTTAATTATCGCGGTAATGCCCCGCGGTGTCAAAGTTTATACCACCCGACCGTTAGTAGTCGACGAGTCGACTTTACTCGCTCGATTCTCTCCGGCTGCCACTTGCCATTATCGCGCGATGTAGATAGAATGGAACGAGAATCCATTCCCCGCGAGATTACGAAATCGTAATTAATCGATGTCACCGAACGAGAGAGAGAGAGAGAGAGAGAGACCCGCGCTTCAAATCTGCTGCGAAAGATTTTACGTGAGCATGAACGACGCGAGACTTTTTTTTCTGTTAAACTTTTATTGCTTTAGTGCGGTTTCTCTTCAATAGAGTGCTTCTTTGCCCAAAATTTGCGGGAATATTTTTATATATTAAGAGAGATTTTTTTAAATAATTTAAGTCTATTAAAAATAAAATGTCAAAGAAGTAAAATAAAGAAGTTTTAGAACTTGATGTTTAGAAGTTGATGTTTGGACATTTATTTTAAGAATTTATAAAGATATGATTTTTTTGTTAGTGATTCGTTATATTCTGAAACGCTTATTTTCTTTCTCTAAAGATTTTGGAGGGAAAAGGAAACGATTTTTATCGTGAAATAGTTTATTTGGATTTATTTATAATTTTCGAAAGAATATCGACGAGTGAGCCGCTAAAGTAGAGAACTCGGGACCATGTATTTTACCGATAGTCGGAAATGATGGGCACCGACGAGATATATTCTTAAAAACCGCGATCTTATAATTGTTAAAGTTATATATATATATATTACCCAGAGAACATTATGACATTTTGATAGATGTGTGAAGTCGCATTTATCTACAATATTATTGTATGGATATGTCGCAAAAATTTCGTGTAATTCTTTCTTTTCTTTGCAAAATCCTTAGAAAATCAACAAAAAACCGGGATATTGTGGAATGAATAAAAATTACCCAATCTTACTAATAATTTTGCAAAATCTTAGGTTCTGTCAGTGAAATCGTAAATTGAAATTTTTATTAATTTACATTTATAAATGTATTATAAATTATGTTTATAAATATAAATATAAAATTACATAAAATTATATTTATATTTATAGATTACATATATTTATATTTATATTATTAATTTGTATTCCACAATATATCCCGATTTTTTATGGATTCTCTAGGAATTTTGTGAAAAACGAATCCCTGCGACAGATATAATATACAAATTCGTTATAAGACAATTTGTCACTTACCGATCCCGATGCGCAACGGGCGGAGTTATTCGGCCACGTAGCTGCGATGATACCTTGAACCTGTAACACAAAAACAAAAGAGTCGAATTAAAGAGGCGCTCAAAATGATCAACGTTTCAAAGAGATAACTCTTACGCGCATCTAAAATTCAAGTCTTTTAATTATATTATATAGTCGGACGTGTTACGGACCATTTACGGAAAACATTATTAGATATGGAGGGCGGCAGTGTGGTCTAGTGGTAGAGCGCCAGACTCGTAATCTGAGGAACCAGGTTCGAGTCCACTAGAGCCATGGAATGTTTTTCCGTAAGCTGCGCCCCTCCGTGCAAGATTGAAGCCCTTGTGCGGAGAAAACTGGGCTCCGTCTTTCAGAAAGAGACGTTAAGCCGTTGGTCCAAAGGGTTAAAGTGAGAGGAGAAGGATAGTATTGGTAGTAGATTGCGAACCCTACGGGGATATGCAATAAATTACGAAAACAAAAATTAACGTGGACATCGGGCATTCTCGTATACGGTCTAATACATGGCTTCGTTTAAGAGACAACGTGTATAATCTTGGATTTATAAGTTTTTGAGATCAGGTAATTTTAGAAGTCACAAAAAGTTCTATTGTAATAAAATAGTATTTTATATGATTGTTTTAATATTGATGAGTTTGTTATAAATTGTTTAGATAGTCGGACGTGTTACGGACCAACTACGAAAAACATTATTAGATATGGAGGGCGACTCGTATACGAGTCTGGCGCTCTACCACTAGACCACACTGCCGCCCTCCGTATCTAATAATGTTTTCCGTAAATGGTCCGTAACACGTCCGACTATCTAAACAATTTATAACAAACTCATCAATATTAAAACAATCATATAAAATACTATTTTATTACAATAGAAGTTTTTGTTACTTCTAAAATTACCTGATCTCGAAAACTTATAAATCCAAGATTATACACGTTGTCTCTTAAACGAAGCCATGTATTAGACCGTATACGAGAATGCCCGATGTCCACGTTAATTTTTGTTTTCGTAATTTATTGCATATCCCCGTAGGGTTCGCAATCTACTACCAATACTATCCTTCTCCTCTCACTTTAACCCTTTGGACCAACGGCTTAAAAGGTCAACCTTTTCTATATATTCTAATGCACTGTTTTCTGCCAGCAATTTTTGAGATTCCCCCTGAAGAAAATTTTGCAGGTCACTGCATATGTGCATGTATATAAGAATATTGTACGTATCTCATACTGGACACTCACTCTATAAAACTCAGCACTTTGTTCTAAAAAAGGCCTTTCAAAAACTTCCTCATATGTTTGACGATCGTCATAACCTTGCCTTGAACAGTTCTCAATTTAGATAAATCAACTGAATCACGGATAGTGAAAGTTGTAGAAGAAGAGTTAATTGAAGTACACATGAAAACCATTGTTGAGGTGTGTTTATTTACGATCTGGGTAGCGATCATGCAACCCTTTCCTTTAGAACGGAAACGTGAAAAGTTTCATGTAACTATCTCTTTCTATTAGTGTTGAATAGAAAGAGATAAACTTTTCACTTTTCACGGTTCCGTCCTAGGGGAAAATATACATGATCGATCCCCTGTATTAATGGACGATTAAACATAAATATATATATCATGTGTTATATATATAATCACATGTTTAGCACATAATATATATCATGTGTTATATACCTTAACATCTCTTGTTTGACAGATGGAAAACGGTGGTGTAGTACAAATGCTCAAAAATCAGAAAACGGAAGATCTTCTTCGTGTGTATAAACTATTTTCGAGAGTATCAGACGGATTGCGCACTGTGTGTGACTGTGTATCTGACTTTCTCAGAAAGCAGGGCCGCGCGTTAGTGCAAGAAGAGTGTGAATCAACCACAAATGCCGTTCTTTACGTCCAAAACTTGTTAGATCTAAAAGATCGCTTTGATCATTTTCTACATCATTCTTTTAATAATGACAAGATTTGTTAACAGATGATAGCAACGGATTTTAAATACTTCCTTAACTTGAATCCTAAAAGCCCGGAATATCTGTCGTTATTTATCGACGACAAATTGAAGAAAGGCGTTGAAGGAATTAGTATTATGTGTATAATTGCATTGTTACATATCGTATGACTTTCGATACATGAATATATTTGGTTTTAGATGACAGAGCAGGAGATTGAAGAGATCCTAGATAAAACTATGGTTTTACTCGGTTTTTTACAAGAAAAGGATGTATTTGAACGGTACTATAAACGACACTTAGCCAAACGATTATTTTTTAATAATATTGACCCCACCCTACGCTTTTTTTGACCGCCGCGCATGCGCGAAGCGCGAAGCCACACAACATGACTGTCCGAATCGCAGAACTGACTGTCTAAAGAGTGCAGGCTGCTTTCGGGACTAATTTTTTAAACAATTTTTTGGCGTATTAATCGCAGGTCAGCCAGGAAGAGCCAGGAGTTCGCAAGCGAAGGGCATTCGCAACTTTCAGATGGCCACGCTCGAGGATAAGTCTATCTGGGAGGATGGAGAGGTACGCGACCCCTTTTTTTTTTATTTACGAGAATATTTAACGTGTCGTCGACCGAGTATTTTCGGGTCGACCGAGAGTTTTCGGTCTTTTTGACACATCTAGTACTTTGTTCTTTTCTTGAATACCGATAACCTCGTACGCTCTCGTGCGATTGTTACTACGTATCTTGTTATCACTTTTTGACAGCCTTTATTGTTGTGCTATTTTTTCTTAGGAAGGTCCAAAGAGCTTTTTTAGAAGTCTCACACTAATGTTTTTTTTTTTTTTAACTTTCCTCAATGTTGTACGGATATGAAAATCGTAATCTTTCTAGTTCGTGATAAAATCTATTTCTAACCTCAAAATCTAACATAAATACAATATGATAATATCTTGAGACTTTGCTCCGTGTAGCAACATTTATATAACCTTTTCTCGCGATTCATTGAATTATAACGGTTAGCTCTTAAATGATTAATTATCGTGATCAATTTTCTTGGTTCATCAAGTCTGCTAAATTTAGGAAGTTTGTTTTCCACAAATGTAATACTACGTTAAAATATTCAATTCCCTTGAATCTTCCTTGTAGTTCTAACCTTTCTCTAGTTCTATTATACATATCTTCTTTAAATAATGTCCTCCGGTCTTTAATAAGCACCTTGATTCTATCTTACTTCTTCCGTTGTTTCCTAAGCTAACGCACCTCGTTTCCTTTCATTCTTACATGACTAGAAATCTATCCTATAATAATTTTTATACTTTTATCTACCTTAGATAAAACATAGCTCCTGCAAAGAGAGGAATATCTTTTCTTTTATTTTATAGATATGTTTATATTGATAGACCAAGGACATTATTACAAAGCGCTTTATAGGTTCTTAGTGAGTTAGTTAAAGTCACAATATTAATCTAATGTTATTTTTTGTGCAAAGCTTAAAATTTTCTCAATCGCCAGTGCATTTGTGATATTACTCAAAATCACAATATAAATATGCCAGAATTCAAAAAAATAAATAAGATTTGTAAAACCAAGACTAAAAATATAGAGCATATAGATGATAGATATTTGTAAGATAAATGTACGTATATTGTTATTGAAAAAGAATTTGCCTCCTCCAGTAGTTTTGCACTAAGTACATGAAATATATTTTTTAAATAACTGTCTTCATTTTCAACTCACTAAAGTATATGAACATATGTATATTTAGTAGTAAATCATTATGTGCATAGTTAATTCTTACATTTTAACGATAAAGAGGAATTTTGTAAATAAAAAAAGGATTACATTGTCTCTAGGAAACATTGGGAGAGGACGTCCTGCGAATGTCCACGGACGAAATCGTATCACGTACGCGACTTTTGGATAACGAAATCAAGATAATGAAGAGCGAGGTGATGCGGATTTCGCACGAGCTTCAGGCGCAGAACGATAAGATCAAGGAGAACACAGAGAAGATCAAAGTGAACAAAACCCTCCCATACCTGGTATCCAATGTCATCGAGCTATTGGACGTCGATCCGCAGGACATGGGGGAAGAAGACGGAGCGGTGGTCGATTTAGATGCGCAAAGGAAGGGCAAATGCGCGGTCATAAAGACGTCGACTCGCCAGACGTATTTTTTGCCTGTGATCGGACTGGTCGACGCCGAATCGCTGAAGCCAGGTGACTTGGTGGGTGTCAACAAAGACAGTTATCTCGTGCTGGAGACTCTGCCGGCCGAATACGATGCCAGAGTCAAAGCTATGGAAGTAGACGAGAGACCTACGGAACAGTACTCCGACATCGGTGGACTAGACAAGCAAATTCAGGAGCTTATCGAGGCCGTTGTGTTGCCTATGACCCACAAAGAGAAGTTCGAGAACCTGGGAATACAGCCCCCTAAGGGCGTTCTGCTCTACGGCCCACCTGGAACCGGAAAGACTCTACTAGCTAGAGCCTGCGCCGCCCAAACAAAATCTACCTTCCTAAAACTGGCTGGCCCGCAACTAGTACAGATGTTCATCGGCGATGGTGCCAAGTTGGTCAGAGACGCGTTTTCGTTGGCCAAGGAGAAGGCTCCGGCGATAATATTCATCGATGAATTAGACGCTATCGGCACAAAACGTTTCGATTCGGAAAAGGCGGGAGACAGGGAGGTACAACGTACGATGTTGGAGCTGTTGAATCAATTGGACGGCTTCAGTTCGACCGCTGACATCAAAGTTATCGCCGCTACGAACAGAGTCGACATCTTGGACCCAGCCCTGTTGCGATCCGGACGCTTGGACAGAAAGATCGAGTTCCCGCATCCCAACGAGGAAGCCAGAGCGCGCATCATGCAAATTCACTCACGTAAAATGAATATGTCGCCTGATGTAAATTTCGAAGAATTATCCAGATCCACGGATGATTTTAACGGAGCACAGTGTAAAGCTGTTTGCGTAGAAGCGGTAAGCATTTAAGTTCAGGATCAATTATAATAATAGCAACTCTTTAACTGAACAATAAATAAAAAATTATTTTTTCTGTCTATATATTCACTAATATATTATTAACATTTACATCATATCGTTTAAAAATTATTATATTGTCCCAGTTAATGATTTGTCCTATTCGATCTTGCTACGTAATTTTGTCAGAATAATGATCAAAATGTGATGTGTTTCAGGGTATGATAGCATTACGACGGAACGCAACAGAAGTTACTCACGAAGATTTGATGGAAGCTATTAATGAGGTCCAAGCGAAAAAGAAAGCAAATCTGAATTATTATGCTTAATACTCCGTGTCGCGTCATTTATTTATTAAGATATCTTTTGTATAATAAATATAGAAATGTCTAACCTTCATACTTTCTTATTTTTCGGCAAATACGATGCACAAAAAAAAACGACTGAATGAATACTTTTCAGTTACATGTATTGAGAAAAAAATTTTTTAATGTCATGTTCACTTTGCTACAAATCTTGCCTTCTATACTAATGTTGTTCAAGTATTATTTCACAAAAATGAACTAACTTAAAAAATGAAATAACTGAAAAAAATAAAATTTCACACTTGAATAGGAATTTTTATTAAATGTTGCAGATATATATATATTTTTATGATGCCGTATCGCGCTACAAAAATAAAATTTTAATGACATATGTTTATTTTATGCAAATTGGTACAAGGTATAGTGATGAATGTAAAATTGTTGCTAGATGACAAGAAGTATATGAAAAAACCAAATTGAAATATTCACACAAAATGTTGATATTTTAGCTTGCACAATAGATGATATCTGAGTTCATGATCTTCCATTTATTAACTAAATGTATATGAAGTCCTTTACATCTAGATAGATTACAAATAGATTTAACGAGAGAGAAATCATTGGAAAGAGTAACTTATATGTTATTTCCAACATTTACAAAATGCTTATCAAATATAAAATAACTTGTCTTGCTTGAAATGACGATACATAATAGAAGATACAATATCATGGTTATTAATCTATAATTCTCATCGCCTTCTGTGACTTCTTTTCCTGATTCTATAAAAATGGAAAAATATGAAATATAAATGTTGATATATGAATCTAAGTACTATATCAATTTAAAGATTCAAATTACTATATTACATAGTAATACATTTACTATTATACTATTATATTTAATATTACATAGTAATACTTACTTCTTTGGTCCTTTTACGAAGCACCAATCGACAGAGATAGCCTGACCTAGGATTTCTGTGCCGTTTAGAGCCTCTTTTGCAGCTTGTGCCTCCTTAAACGTTTCGTATTCCACCAATGCGTAGCCTTTTAGAAATCCCGTTCTTCTGTCCAGATTTAAATGCAGGTTCTTGATCTGGCCAAACTCAGAGAACTTGTCCTGAATATCGTCCTCCTGTGCCTCTTCGTGTACTGAATTTATGAACAAGATCCATCCTTCCACAGCTGAAAGTACATAAAAAATATTAATTATACCGACTGTAACAAATAAAATGGAGAAAAAAAATAAATCTTGTAATTCAATCAAACTGAATTAATGAAGCTACAACAAAGATGTTCTTACATCTCTGAGGGCCAGGCTCATTGTCGTCCTCTTCAACTACATTCATGGACTCATAATGACCAACGTCATCTCTCGTCGACACTAATTCCGCGCCATGGCCTCTGCCTTTCCTCTTCTTCGCCTTCTCCTTAAGACGAGCGATACCCTCTGAAAACATACCAAAATAATCAGAATAATCAGAATTTTTCACACGGTCTACATTGGTTCGATCTTATTGCCATCTGTTTTCATGTTTCTCATCACGAAATCTAACGATTTCAGACGAGATTGACGTTTGCACCGCCAATATTATTCAATAATTGCATGCTACTCCAAAACTGCCAGGGAGAGAGACATGAGGCTTGCTCGTTTTAGCTGAACTTCTCGCACGATTCATCTTTCCTCTTTTTTTCACGTTGGACAGAAAAAGAGAAGAGATAAATTGTGAGAAGTTCAGCTAAAACGGATAGGCCTATGGTGCTCAGCTTGTTAAAGAGACACAAATGTATGAAAACGAGATGAAGAAGTTATCGAAGAACAGTACGAAGTTGAGGTTAGGTTAGAAGCTAAATCAATGCTCGTAAAATAGGGGTACTCAAATAAGTTAAAGTTTAACGGTTTGACAGGTTATGTCGGGTTAAAGTCGGGTAAAAAGTTAATTTTTGAACTTTTAACCCAAAGATTAATGTGATAGATTAATAAGACACTTATATGTTTTGCATAACCTTAAAGAGTAGCGCGCCCAAAGTGTAAAAAATTAATTTTTTACCCGACTTTAACCCGACATAACCTGTCAAACCGTTAAACTCTAACTTATTTGAGTACCCCTAATGTAACGAGAAAACGAGACTTACGATCTCCCTCGTCATCTACCTCAAACTCCTCAGCGTTATCGATGTCCAAAACATCCGCCATGGCTACAGTTGAAGTATTTAAATAACGTGTACGTTTAATCGCTCCGTTTTAAGCTGGCCACACACACTTTTTCGTAACAGTAACAGTAGGATTTTGACCAATCGTGTTACTCGATTCGGGAACGTACGGCATCGAGCAACGCGATTGGTCGAAATCCTACTGTTACTGTTACGAAAAAGTGTGTGTCCGGGGCCTTACGATATCGCGTTTACTACGCGTTGCCGTAGCTTCTTCTTTTTCTTCTTCTTTATTGGCCTATGACCTGTGACCGGCTGTGACCTGTGAGCTATACAGGCTATACAGCTCTAAAATGGCCAGGAGTGCCAGGACGAACCACTCATCAGGCGTGGGATTTTCTCGCGCACGCACATTGAGCAAACGCAGTGATGACCTCACTGACGTATAAGGTATAAGGCTGGGGCTACACTATGCGCGTTTTCGCGAATCGGATTCGCGAAAACGCGCATAGTGTAGCCCCAGCCTAAGGTGGTATAAGGTATCGAAAGGTCCTAAACTGAAAAATATGAAAAATCGTAGGGAGGGAAAAAATCCTGTTAAAGAAACATATATTTAATATTTTATTCTTGATATTTATTTTGTAACGTCTGCAGCCGATTAATCACACGAATACCAACATTTGTTGCAAGATGAGTAAGGAAAACTGCAGAAAACCTTACCAGTATTCTAACAAAAAATAATACATTTAATACATAAAATATAATAATCGTATAAAACCAATATATAATTATATAAATATAATACATAAAAGTACAACACACACATACGAATGTAATTAATAATAAAATAATGACAAATAGTAAACACACTTTCACAAGTGGAGGTGTTCCTATGAGGCTTCTAAAAAAACAAAAATACAATTAATAAATAACTACGCGTACGCGTGTATCCCATACAGCACAAAATGTTTTCAAAAAATATTTCTAAATATTTCTATAAAAATATTGCGAGAAATATTTTAAAATGATTTTAGGAATATTTTAAAATGGTTTAAAAACCTTTTGTGGTAACATTTTTAAGAATATTTTAAGAATTTTTTAAAAATATTTTTAAAAACGTTTTTTTTATCACCCAGACAAAATTTTCTTAAATATTTGAAATGTATTTTTGAAATATTATATGAAATATTCTTAATTAAAGATGTATGTCGCTTATGTCAAAATAAAGGGATAAAGCTGAAATTTACAGAGATTGTGCACTGCTTATATATCCCAAAAACCTGTGTTAAATTTGCGATCGATTGTCCGACCCGTTTCTGAGATATTTATGGTACTTTAAAAGTTACAGAAATTATATATATATATATAGATATACTTCCCATGTAAATATTAAGGTCATATTTCGTCCACGACGTCATATGTCCTTTATATGACGTGTATTTGGCATCCTATTGTGGACGAAAGTATGCCGTCATAAAAGGACATGAATTAGACGTCATTTTAAGACCAAATTTGGTACACGACGACTTTATTTTTATTTTTTGAGTTTTTCTTAATTATTAAAACAGACCCATACAGTATAGAAGCTTGCAAGACGTTGCAGGAACGTTACAAGTTATTGCAATGTAATGTTGTAAAGACAATTGCAACATTTCGTTGAAATATTAGAACAACATTGCAGAAATATTATAAGAATAATTGAAAATATAGTACTATAACTTCCTCCGTGAACATATATGCACACACATACATAAAAAATAGATTTTTTTTAGATTTATGTTTCTTTAAATTTGATTCCTAATTATTTTTTAACTTTGATTCAATTCATTAAATAAATTCTTTATTTTGTCAGGTAGCGTCTTTAGGCGTTATCATGCATGTTGTTAACGTTATTATATTAATATTATATTATGTCAAATATACGAATTTCATATTAATAATTATATTATTGTACATTAATTTTAATTGCGTTATTATTTTTAATATTTACCGGGTATTATCATTACACGATTTTTGAACACTATAAAGATATGTTATGTAGTAGTATAAACAACAAGGAAGCGTCAGAATCAAAGGATCATCACTAGTCTGTTCGATAGTATTGCGGAAAGATTCTACGATAAACAATTAGAACATAATAAACTAACCAAAGATATAACTCAGATTAGAGCTGATAACATGCCAAAACACTTTAAATATGAAGTGCCTTACCAAAAATTAGACATATATAAAAAAGCAATATAGATTAAGTAAGTAACTTAAGATCTTGAATCAAAAGTGTCGCAAATTTTGTATTGCCCACTTAATGTTCATCTGATAAGTAGGTTTTTTCAATGTTTTTCCTACAAAATATATTACAAACGATAGGTATATAATGCAATGAGAATAAAGTATAAAGTACCGGAGATGGACATAAGATAAACTTGTACTTAATTGAAAAAGTAGGTTAAGCTAAATAGGCAGGAACTACAATGTATATAGTAATATAATGTATATATATATATATATGAGTTAACAAATTATCCTTGTTAAAAAAAAAAAAAAGTCTGTTTGATCATCGATGTCAAGCGACGTTAGGTGCGGTACTCGGATGGGTGACCGCGCGGCGTATACACACACGACATATACATAATAAATGTATTTTCTTTTTTTTTTCTAAAATTCTTAATTCACAAAAGCATAACGGCATATACATACCTTTAAATGATTCATATTTATGTCATTTTTAAAGCATTTTTAAAATTATTATAAACATATTTTATTTTTTTAAACAATATTTCTAAAAGATTTTACGAATATTATTGAATATATTTATTTGCAATCTTTTAAAAATATTTTTGAAAATATTTTTCTGACATGATCTGACGGACATAGAAACATTCTAAAAATATTTCTGTAAATTATTTTATAATATTTTAATCTTCCTAAAAAATATTTTAAAAATATTTAAGAAACATTTTGTGCTGTATGGGATGTGTGTCACATATTTGCCTCCAAAAGTATATAAAAGAAATAAATAAAACGGAATACAAATAAACTTTATAATTATCACAAAACTAATAAATAAAATAAAAAATATAGCACTTATGCATATATTTTAGCCCACTATATCACAGATTTGTGTTCTATCACAGATAGTTTTGTGAAACTGAAAAATATGTATGAAAATAATGTAAAGCAAAATAATATAAGAAAAAAAATAAAAATTTCTCTATGTAATAAAAAGAAAGTACTCTTATGCATGCACCTCATCAGCATATACTATATCACAGTTAGACTTATAAATATTGATATATACATATATAAAAAAAATTGTTTATTTTGAAAAAAGAGAAGAACATTGCACTGCATGTACATGCTGTATATCACAAAGTAAAGTAACAAAGAAATAATAATTTGGCAGAGAATGTAAAAATAAAAAGCATAAAAG